CATTAGAAAAGGTATATCGATTATTTTCATTTGGCGCGCTACTAAATAGTTGTGCAGGTAGGTTCTCTTGTGAACTGCATCGTTATTGGAGGTAAAACTGCCAGTATCTCTGAGATGGTGAGACGTGATCTAAGGTGACCTGCGATCATCGCGTGCGCGAGGAAGAAGCTGTGCATCGTAGGACATTGTTAATTTCTTGATGACTACGAGAACACAGTACAGATGGCCACAAACGATGCACGAAAATAAGAACACTCATTGACAAGCCTAGACAAGGAAGAGTGGTCAGCGTTCACGGATAGAATTATCGAAATGTTTGCTTAGCAATCCACGGTGCTCCATCAGAAGGATGGCGAGGCCGCTGAATATATCGAAGTCATCGATGGGGCGCATCGTTAAGGAGAAGCAGCACTGCCAATCTATCACATGCAGAAGTGCCGCTTCATTCTGTTCAGCAACAAGCAGCAGAGAGGCCAAAAAGTTGGAAGGTTACTAGCGCGCTTCACTGGCGACACGCTACTCTCGATCGTTTTTTCTGACGAGAAAATATTCGCTGTGGAGCCGATGTTGAATCGCCAAAGCGATCACATTCTAGCTAGAAATATCGGGAGTGTCATCTCACGAGGAAAGATTGTTGGAAGAACGGCTAACTCGGCATCAGTAATGAATTGGGTGTGAGTCGCGGCCATGGTGAGACGCCATTGAATTTCGCCGAATTCATGTGTGAAGATCAGCAAGGACGTGCATGCTGGTGAACATATGGAAACCTTGATCCAAGTTCCACTTTGGGAGCAAGCCGATGTGTTTCCAGCAGGACAGTGCTACAGCCCACGGGGCCAAGCTCGTTCAATGCAGCTGCGAGCTCCACTAATCTTAATCATTTGAACCCAGTCTGGTTCGTGATTAAGAGCAAGGCATGTCGAGCTCGTCATACGAATCTGCAATCATTGCAAGCAGCATCAAAGGAAGCCTGGGAAGAATTGGATAAGGGATACCTGCGTGCAACGTGTGAATGGTGCAAGAAGAGACTCCGGGCCTGTATTCGTGCAGGTGGAGGACATTTTGAAATCTGGTTGTTGCATGTTGTTGTGTATGATGTTATGGCAATAAATAGGCGCAAGTAATTTTGGGACACCCTATATCTTTTGAGATACGTGTTGAGCTACAGAAGCTAATAATGAAATAATACAGATAAAACATTTGAAAAAATCTGCGAACATTCATTTTAGAACGTTGTTGCATCCATTAGCGAATAAACGTTTAACGATACCATCGTAAGTTGACCGGTTTCATACTTTTAGAACTATGCATCTTACTGTCTTGGCTTTTTGAACTATTTTCCGATACGATAAAGCTAGAGGAACGATGAAGTTCCTAGATAGTATTCTAGCTATTTTTGGAAAGTGTGATCGAGTAGTGAAGGATTGCTCCACTTTAAGAACCAACACAAAAAGATAACCTGTGCCTTTTTATCCATTTCAAAATACTGACCACTGCGTTCGCACTAATTTGCCACAACCGGCAATGGATTGCATAAGTATTGATTTTTGGTCCGAAACACAAATACAAGCCTATATACGATTATTTAGCCAATAAGTAGTTTTCAATCAACTAGAATGCTATATAGGTTGTTACGGGAAAGTTCTTGTGTCAAGCGTCCATTACGATTTTCGTAACAGAAGGGGGAAGGGAGGTTGAAAGGAACGAGGAAGGGTCGTGAGTTGATATTTTGTTTCATCAGTGTTATTACACGTCTTTAACAAAATTTTACTTTCATGTCTCGCATAACCTTTATGTATTGGTCATGGCCAGACTTTCTATGCGAAATCATGTTTTTGTGCATTTTATGCAAAAGCAAAGTATATGTAGGATAATCCGGCGCCCTCGCCGTAACGCTTTCCCACGCGGCAAAAAGCAAGACACGTGTCGTCAGCGTGTCGCGAACGTGTAAAACATTTCTTTTATTGTCTTTTAAAGAAAGAATTTCCTTTACAAACGAAGTATTTGCTATCACGCCCAATCACTTTACGTCAATTTCCGGGCAGTGTTTCAATGCCGTCGACAGATATTTGTTTGGGAAATGAAAAAAAAACGGAAAATTGTTCAGCCAGCTGCTGAATCACGAGATTCGAAGTCAAATGAAATTTGGTTTACCGTGTAAAATTTCTAGTAGTAGAATTGAAATTTAGACTACACTCGCACCTTTTCCGGCAGTGGTTACGTTAGGGTTTACAGTTAGTGATAGTAAGAAACTTGTTTAAAAGTCTATATCAAGTTATTACAAAGCAGTGAGCACGTGAAGGATAGCATTATGAAAATCATCAAATTTTTCCCACAGCCTAATATTTAGAATGGTCACAACTAAACTTTACAACATTATCATCCTCGAGTACTGTTCCTTGCATGGTCATTTATCATTCCTTTGTAATGCACACTTACCTCTCTAAAGAGGCGGAATTTCAAAGTGATAACCGGCCATATTCGCTCTTTCAAGCAGAATCAACCGTGCGTTGTGCAGTTGTGCAGTTCCGAACGGGGTGCGGGGTGGGGGGTCGTACTTGAGTTCGCTTGAAGGGCGGGTCACATTCTGAGATGGTGAAGGCCAAAAGCTTGAAAGGAGGTCGTCTGTGCTCCTAGAATTCGATGGAGTCGTGGTTGCGGGAGAGGTAGGATAGTTTCTAACCGGTTTTCATTGGTTTTGGAAACTTTCAGAACTTGATGGAGGATATTTAATAAAGCCTAAGGATAAAGCATTTGCCGTTGATCAATCCCGTTTGGGATGCGGCACGCATTCTACTTCCATTTGTACATTCGTAGTGGCGTTTGAATGCGATGTGGCCTATACAATGGCTTGCCGATGTACAAGTCAGTGTTTTTATCCTCCCAGACAAGTCTGGTACCAATTAACCGACCCCGGAGGGATGGAAGGCTTGGTTATTGCTATTGCTACTGAGGTATTTGATAGTGGAGAAAGATGAAGCATCAGCTAGGTCAGAAAAGTGGGAGCGTACCGACTGGTCACAGAGTTAGATACCATGAAACCACCGTGATGGTGAATGTGGTGCTCAGGGGTGGGGGAGTGTGGTGAGAAGGGAGGGTTGTATTGAAGATACCTTCCCGAGGCTGATGTTGGTGGTGGTGAGGGGAGGCTCGTATTTCCGCTTCGAAGCCGTCGCACCCGCTGCCTCCAGTAGCAGGTGAGCATCTACGCTATCGCAGGTATGAGTTGTCACAACCGAAAACTCTATGGAAACTAAAACCCAACGCTGAGCACCCATGCACACCCAAGCTTGTCGCACCGCTTTTCCTCTTCAATATGTTGTCCCTGAGTTTGTATTATTCTATGGGGGGAAGAAAATTTGAAGTGTTGCATGACCTCGCCCGGCTCAGTTCAACTGTTTTTTTTTTGTGGAAAACCCTTTCACTTCTACGACTTTACAGATACTTCAGTTCACACTACGACAAGAGGACTTTGGACTTAGACGACCCAAGGTAAGAACCCTATCGACTCAATTGTAATGAACCCGTAGCATATTTATCTACTGCCCAACGAATGAACGTCCCACATTTTACGAGTAACAAAGTGGAGCGTGGGTGGGCGTGGTTTCTCCAATGCGGCTCAAGGAGCTTTGAATTCTACTACAGCCACTTTCGCGGTGTCAGTTGATCTGATCAACCCATTACTTCTACATGAAAGCGAAGGGAGGGGAGAGGAAAGCCTATCGGCTGTGCGGACGGAACCGCATGCTGTTAACGTCAAAATGACGTCGCAGCTGCGGCAGGCTTGAAGGAAGGGCAAGTGACGCCGCTGCAACTTGGTTTAAAAAGTGCTGGGTTCCTAACACTAAACCCCATTTTCCAGTCAGTGGTGCCACGAGCAAAATTATGTACTGTGTAATGTACGGGTACCATTCTCGCACTATTGATTGAAAATTTTTGAAAATGTAAGGAATGAGCTGAAGTTGATTGAATCAAGTCCGTTCTTCGTATTCAATTCCTGCTTACTTCTTCTTGTTACACGTGAAGTTAGAGCACGATTCACGAGCACGATTGATGGTCGGAGTATTTGATGTATAAGCACTGGTGGCAAAGCTGGTCTTTGCTCGCTTCCTTGCCGCCTCTGTGACGTCACCAAAACGCAAACGCGTCCGCGTCGCCGGTGAGCTTTTATATAGAACCTAAAAGCCCAATATCAGAACGCAGCCCTTATAGAATACACTTCATGGAACTCGTGTGTAATACCAAAAAGCTTTCATGTAGCTTTCATGTGTACATTGGGTGATCGCGAAAGTCTTTGGCCACTCACACCTGCAAGTTGTGGAACCTCGAGGAATCGTTCTGAAGCAGTCATTCGTAGCATATGTACGTGGAGGCTCGTCCAAAGCATCTTGAGACCATGCCTGCTATCATTCAGTAGTGAGCCGCCAAATCTTTTTTGACTGAAATGTGAGACTGCAAACTCTCAATGAGGAAGGTCATCAATGCAAGTGATACGGCAAGATGCAATGTGGCTCCAGGCAGTCCTTCGCCACTGGCATAAATTTGAGTGCCTATTTCCAAAGACATCAGAGAATTTCACAAATGTTGTCAGCTTGTTCAAGTGAATGAAGAGAGCCTTCTGGAGGTGATTCAAAAAAGTTCCTTGATGCGGTACAGAGGATTTGGCAGAGCTTTTCTAGTGTTATGACAGAACAACTGGCGTCCTCCACACAGCCTTGAAAATGAAGTGAGGTTATGGCGAAAGGATATTTCGTGATGTGAGTGAGCACCAGCTCTGAAGGCGAAGAGATTCCATGTGAACATTTTATTTTTTCGTCTCTCTTTCCTTTTGAGCCGATAGATTGGTGAAGGTGACGAAAAATGACTGCTTCACGTAAATCTCAGTAGTACCCTTGGCTTGGACGGCTTATACACTGCGATGGAGGTCCAGCAAAAGCCTCCAAACCCTCCTCCCCCATGAGACCTTCTGACCCGCTTGATTTATCAGCAGGACTTGTTACCAACAAGCTACTGTCTGCTTCCCTCACTGTCGAGCCATCTCAAAACAAGGTCGTTCGTGGATATGGACCAGCTGTATCAATACACCTCCCAGTTTTTATCATCAAAAGCTGAAATTTAACAAAAACGGCATTCTCAACCTACGGCAGCGAGAGGCAGTATGTTGCATAGAAACGATTGCGCAGTATGGTTGTGTAGGTTCTACCGTAACCGAGTTCGCAGTAGGACGGGCACTGTCCCATCTTTTCGACTTGTTTTCGACGTACCATCTGTCGTATTCTCTGCGCACTCCACAACCAATCTGTTTGTCTAAACTTGGTTTCGTTCCCCATCTGAAACAATAAGTGTTATGAAAGACTCAGTTATCAATTCGCCTATGATATTTCTTCGATATTGTTGTCCCAGGCTGTTCTCAACAGCGTTCGGTAAGAGAAACGGAGTCGTGATAACATCGCTCAACCGTCCTCGGTGAGATATTTTTGTCATCAAAGCTCTTTTCTGACTTTTATTTCTGTTTCGTGTTTTGAATACTCGATTTTTTTACATACCAGCTTTTTCCTGGCTTGCTGCGCTTTACACTTGCGCCGATGAGTTGTGGATGAGGACGTTGTTCACAACTCGCACGGCTAGAAGTCAAATGCTGGCCTAGCTTCCCGGCTCAAACCAAACCTTCTGCTTCTCCAAGGGCTGTAAATTGAGTGGCTCATCAGAGAAGGGAAGGTAGAGGGGTCAACTCGGCCACTTGAGATGGTTCATATGGTACTTCTCGTTCGCCTAGATTGGAGACAGAAACATGCAGTTAAACAATGAAACCACCGAAAATAGAAACGAAACATAGTAATCAATGATTGCTTACAGATGCCTGTAAGGAAAATTTGAGATTAGTGAAAGGCGCGGCGAAGAACGGGGGATGGTTGAAGAAATTCAACTTAGGGTCTCTTGAGCACGGCGATTCGTCCCTCATGCTGATTTCGGCCAATCAATTCAAGCATTCTGCTATCTGAGATATAATACATGCACATTGCACGATACATGCAGGGGGAGGAGGAAAAAAGTCACTTTGCCTGTGCGCACATCATCAAACTTTTCGTCGCAAAGAGTGCCGCTGTTGATGAAGTTTTACGGCAAAATATTCCTTAGATGTCCCCATAAGCAGAAGCAGGCCCTCCTTCACTGCCCTCACCGTCTTCAGAATATGACGTCATCTGCCATCACCGTCGAGCTCAAGGAGGCTACCGTAATCGCTCCAGCCTGAAGCTGCTACATAATTTCTTCAATCGGTTAACTGGTGAATAGCTTCTTAGAGACACTAGCTGTGACTATGCAAGACCGCTTTTGACCAGCGTTTCAGACGTCGTAATGGTCTATGGTACCTCGACGACCTCGTTGAGCTCGTACCGTGAACCATGTTTCCGTGGGAAAATCTTCTGATGTCGTCGGTGTAGAAGGTTGTTATGCAAGTTTTTGATAGATTGGAATGTGCTCTTTAATTTGCAATTGGGCTCATTCAGCTTCGATCTGGTAAAGTGTTACTAATACCGTTTTGAAGTGGAGGGGAGTGACTTTTTTTGCCCCACCCCCTCCTGTATCACTGGAGCACTACTTGATTATGGAAGAAGGCGAAACGAAGAAGCGCCGAACCATCCGTCTTATTTTTACGGGGAACTTCTCTAATTCGAATGCCTGAAACTTGGATAAATTTAAATTGTTAAAAGAACTGCCGAAGGATTCTTTCGCAAAATACAAAAACGGTGAGAAATATCAGGCAACGAAATGAGTGGTGCACTTTAAGACGGACTGATTAAAGGTGAATCTTCCCTTAATGGATTTTATGAGTTATATTTCACTGTTGACTAACCAGTCACTAACCTCTCCAAAAGTTTCCCTGAGGATGCGTTCTCGAAGCGTTGGGCTTGTTTCAGGCTGCTACATTTCAATGTGACAGATATCACCGACTAATTCTAATATGTTGAGAGTTACACTGAAACACGGCAGGGATAATGTAGAATAGCCGAGCACTGACCACCACCAGCGCGCTACCTATTCCACTTCAGGATAACGGTCTATAGAAAACCGCTAACAGTTTCAACTGTCCGTTGGGAAAAAAATGAAGGAAACGTTCAATAAAGGGTCCGCAAAAAGGGCGGGTTGACTCTACCGAGAGTGAAAGTATCTGCAACTTGTCCTCTCAAGAACACACATATCCCCCCCCCCCTCCCCGCAAACTTGAGGAACCCTGTGGAAGAAGTTGGAGTGCGTAATGTGGTGCGGATGAGACATTATAGAAAAAGAGCCGTATTTGGTGGAGGTGGCAGAGTTGAGAAGGGATCGTATGAAGGATTCTGGGAATCAGAGCCCCCAGTATTATTTACGAGTTTAGTGACTGACCCTGCTTTCAACTAATCAATTTTCAAAAAGAGGATCTTCCTCTACCCTTCAAGGGCAGTGTATACCGTAATCGTGTGGCAGCAGCAATGTATGCATATGCACCTGAGAAACCAGTACATATACAGACGACAGGAATTCAGGTGTGGCGTTTTTGCAGCAGAAGTTGCGCTGGTTACAGCGTAGTTGGGCTCCAATCTCGAAACCGTCCCGCCTTCTTTGGAACCGCCCCGCCCTATGCGTACCTATCGAGTCTTAGCTTTTTTATTAGCGTTCGATTTTTGTTCTGAAAGAACATTTCGACCATCTTATCGGATCTCTCAAGCAATTCTTCGATTCTATCGGGGCACAGTCACCGAATTGGCCAATGTAGTTCGCCCAATATCTTATGGAAAAATGAGAGTCCCATTTTCGGGTTTCTGACGATTTCTTCTAGATTCTTCACACTGCTGCACAAATTGGCACCTCTACACTCATGTTCAGCAACAGTTATTCTGATCATTACCTTTGAGTCAGCATTTTTTGTCTCAGACAAGTCTTCGGCTAAGTACTAAAACAACCGTAAAAATGTAAGGGCTAGCCTTCACAATATTCGGTCCTAATAAGCGTGCTTTCATTCCTCCCTGCATGATCGTAAAACCTCCATATTTTTCATTTGCAGTTCTATAATATTTCAGATTGATCAAGCGTTCTCCATCCTTGGGTACAAATATCGGAGTCGCTTACGTGAAACGGGATGACATAGATCCAAGGTGAGGTTGAGATCTTGTGGGACACGGTTAGCTAAGGTAGAATTGCTTGTTGCATCTACAACTGACCTTGTCGCTATGAATAAGAAAAAATAATTGTACTAAACAAATATGAAAGATAATGAAAAGAAAGGCGTAAGAGTAATTGGGAAGTGAAATCAAAAGAAGTTCCTTTGAGCGGAAGCAATTCCATATTTAGCAGTAAAAAATTTGAGGAAAAAATTGTGAGCAAAACGAAAACCGTACACTGCTCACCGCCACGTAGTAGAAAAGCAAGCAGGAGATCATTATCTATCAATGCTCCAACTATCGTTTTCAGATTCTTCTCCAACTCATTTGGGAAACGGTCAGCAGGACTCGACTTAGAAGACCCCAGGTACCATTTGGAATGTACACATTTAGGATTCTGCACAGTTTATTAGGGCTGATATCTTTCTCAATCTATGCTCTACGACGCGTTCGTGGAAACTTTTTGAAATACTGGAAGCATAAATTTGGAAGGAAGACCCTGTTTGACAAATTCCCTCATAAACGAGCTGTATCCTTATCTTTAGTTGGAGCTAGGCTTGAAGGCTAGCAGTACTGTTCCTGTCTAGTATTTCGATTTCCGGAAAAGGAGAGCATTCATGGAAACAAATGTTCTGCTTTCGTTCCTCGCCTCTTGAATGATTTATTCGTAATTTTGCCCACCAGTCCTATGCTTTTACGAGGTATTTCGCTAATCTGGTGCTGCTATAATCTGACGTACACCCGCCACTCGGTAATCTCATCATAACCATGTTAGCTCGGAAGTAAATGCCGTTACGTGGTTAACATCCGTGCTTTATGCTCACTTTGAAACTGATTCCCCCCTCCCCGGGTGCAGGACTTTTGGTGCGTCCGGGGTTGTCGATTCGCGCGGCGGGCTCCGGACGAAGTAAGTTTTAGATGTCGGTCAGACTCTGCGATTGCATCGCGCGAT